GGAGGGCACAGGCTGGTCCGTGCCCGAAAAGGTGTCTTTGTCCCCTTCTTCTCCGGCCAACAACACCCGTTTGTAAACCGGGCAGGGTGCGAGCCGGGTGCAGGCAGCGGCCCGCCTGCGGGACGGCTGGGGGAAATTACGTCTTTTGCCTCTTTGTTTCTTGTCCCAGCGTTGATAAAACGGTCTGTGTGCTGTGCCTCTCACTTCTTCTCCAGCTTTGTCCTTCTGTAGTGTCTGGTTGCTGCCGTCCCCCTTTTCCTACGTTGTAGCTGGTTTCGGTGTGATCGGTAATCGGGGGAAATTCTGGCTGTGTTTCCCTCCCTTGTCCCGTTTGCTAAATTTACCATGATTTATTGAGTATTTCTGTTGAAACGTGGGAGATCCTGATAACGATAAAATACTTTCTGTCGTGTCTGTCGGCTTTTAGCTTTTTTCTACTTGGAGGCAGAAAATAAAATGTGTGCTAGAACCTCCGTGGCTTGTTTTAAGTGCGTTATCTCAAATGCACGTAAAAACTGCTCATTTAGTGAGGTTAGACCAGGTAATATTTGTGGTGCTCAGTAGTACAGCTTTCAGGAGAGGCAATCTTCCACCCGTTGTGTATATATTAGTATACATGTATATTAGTAATGGGCAAAGCATTTCTTATGGAGATGTCTATGGTTATGTGACTTTTTTTATGGGCAATGGCAGCAATTATTAAGAAGACGCCCAGGCTCCTGTTGCACAGGAGATGGCTTGTTTGTAGCAGTGGAGATTTGTGGTGCGACGGTTGAGAGTCTTGTGAGCTAGCAGCTATGTTGCAGAAGAAAGTCTAGGAGACATGTTCTTAAGTAAAACAGAATACATTTCTGTGTGTGGTAGGATTATCTGTGTTTATGAACGTGGAGATCTAGAGAGAACTTTGTATTTTGGAGCCTGACATTTGGTAGGAGTTTTACGTAAGCAGTTCTCTCACTGAGTATTCATGATGTTGTTCAGACTGTGTTAAGTGTTTTGTACCTTGGTTATTAGAGGAGAAAAATGTTTTTGGAGGCTGTGTACAGAATGGCCAGGTGCCTTGATCATACTAGTGGACACCAGCGGCTGACTGCGTATGGCTGAGAGCCGCAGCGCACATGCCGCGGATAACAGATGTGGAGAAGCCTATATGCAGTTTGCAGGCAGGTGCTCATTGAGGGCTCCCAAATCTTTATTTCAGGATGGGATTGGACTGAGTGTACTTTTGGGTTCCTAGGTGAACCAAAATTATTGATTCCAGTAGTCCCTCCTGCCTTCCTTTCACAACCAAGAACTTGTGTTTTCTAGCAGCCTCCCCATCAGCACGTGCCTGGTGTTAGCCATTTGACACTGTAGCTCTCAGATAAAAGTTGGAAGCAGTGCCAAAAGCAACAGGCTGGTTGTCCATTACTGAGATGAATTGCCTGCTAATAAAGCACAAAGATTCTCTGTATGTGCGTGTTATGAAAATGTCCAGAATACCAAACAGGAAAACAATCTCTCTGGAGTTTTATTGAAGGCAATAGTTATATAAACTAAATAGAAGCAATCATTTTGCCATAAAATGGTTCTGTACATTTCACATGGAATTTCCGAAAAAAATCGGACTTGGAGACTGCTTAGAAATTGAAACAGGTATACCTTTAGTGAACCTGTGTGGCTGGATCCTTAATGTTTCTTACTTATGAGGATAAAAATCCACTCTGAAGACTGATGGAGGTGCATCATCACTAGAGAGTCTATTAAACGTTTCTTGACCTTAAAAATTATTTTCTTGTTGTTATAAACACTGTACTACTTTGCATTCTGTAAGTTTTACTGTTTTCTGGTTTTTACTCTCAGGTCAGATACTGCTTATGTTTATTCCCTGCTCTGCTTGATGAATCATTCTCTTCCAAGTGGCTGTAAACTCTTTAATGTGTATTCAGGAACATTAGAGAAATGTGTTTTTACTGTAAAAATGACAAAATGTCTAGCATTCTGTGTATAAAATTGCTTTGTAGAGTTTCTGCTAGGCTAAAAAAAGTTACCTTCTGTTTCTTGCTTTATTCTCTGTCACTGTAATTATTCAATTTATTCTTTGATTTTATTCTTTAATTATCTATCTATATTATTAATATTTAATAATCTATCTATATCTACTCTCAATTTTCTTCTCTCTCTCTCTTTCCTTTTTCTTGTCTTCCAGTTTTGACTGTACTAACACCATTGCTGATTTGCTACTCCTAGAGTGTTACCTTCTCCCAGTATCTGTACTTGGCCATCAGACACTATGAGGAGACTGGCTTTTCGAGGTGCTGGTTGTACTCTGGTAAATCTGGTAAATTACTGATTGTATGTGCACCATTCTCTCCATTTCTCTGCTTTAGGCTTTTACTTTTCTTTATCCTAACTGTTAATTTTTCCTGCCTTATTCATCTCATTTGTGTGCTTAAAATTAATTCTGTCTCCAACATAAATGTTCTAATGTGGTTATGTTGTGCTGCCGTACCTTGGAAATCAGCTGAGTGCTTCCTAGAAGAAATTCCTTGATTCGGTTGGAAGATGGGTATAGGCTGGAATGGATGAATCTATTCTGTCTTCAGCCTTTGAGACAGCTACAAATTAAGATATTTTTATGATGCTGTCACTGGAAGTTGGGGAAGAGCCAACAACTTGTTCCGTAAATCACCATAGTTTTTGGATGGTGGTTATTCATTTTTCACTGTTTGTGTTGATAAATGGAAAACTATGGCCAAAAAAGGAGGTGGCTGTTTCTCCTTCTTGATGATTGAGCCATTCATCCTAAACATAAAGCAGGAGTGGTAGGTCACACAGTGGTCCAGACCTTCTTTCGGCTTGAATCTAGGACAAGGTATTCAGTAGCCATTTGAATTTTAGTTTGTAATTTGTTTTGTTTGTGTTTTTTTGGTTTGTGGGGGGTTTGTTTGTTTGTTTGTTTTTAATTTGGCATGGAATGAAGTGCCTTTACACCAGAACTGAGCACTTGTCTCTGTACAGCTCTTTCCTTTAGAACAGCGGTTCTCGCTTAGTTATCATGCATGGGGTGAGGTATCAAAATGTAGATAATCTAAGAATGTATGCTAGTAAGAGCCGCTAAATTAATCTTCATCACCATGAGCCCTAGGCTTTCTGACATTACTGTCATCAGTGACTATAAAACTGTAGGACCATTCTGATTGCCCTTTATTCCTGCCCATTTTCAAAAAGCTGGTGTTTAGATATATGGCTTAACTGAACTGTAGTATATAACAAACATATGTGTCTCATCCTAAAGCATTGCTAGCTTCATAGTTAGCTCTCACCAGAGAGTTTGGATGCAATACCATGAGTTTAAGAACATCTCTCTTCATTATAGAAGAAGTTGGATTCCATGGGTTCCAAGAGGCGAAGAGCTACCTCGCCTTCCAGCAGCGTCAGTGGAGGAGACTTTGATGATGGCCACCACTCCACGAATATACCAGGCCCAAGCAGAAAGAGGAGGAGACTTTCCAATCTCCCAACTGTAGATCCTGTTAGTACCTTCTTATTATGCACAACTTTTTTCCTTGGGGTTACTGTGTCCCTGCCTAGGACATGCTGGATTTTAAAATGGATGATCATATGTAGTGCATATACACTGGCCCTGAATTTGTTGCTGCCTTGGCTAAGCTTTGTTTAGGATCTCATTCAGCTTTGGCTTGTTCTTGTCTCCCCAGTTTCATCTTTTTCTTTCCCATTTTCCTTTTGCCGCTTTTCTTTTTTTGCCGATCATTTTAGCAGGTGGAAGGATGTTGGAGAAGGAGCTGAAATCATAACATGCAGAAGTTGAGAGCTGTGTCTGAATAGCAAATGCAGAGAGATAAGTGGAGAACAGCACAGGCAGTGATTGCTGAAGCGTACAATGTCTCTGTTATGCCTTTGAGTTAACAGTCTAATTTTAATTAATTGCAGGGCAGAAGAACCCCTGTTGTTGTTTTAGATGTCTATAACTCAGAGAGAATTGCAGTGAAATAATTTACATTTTGGGTGTTTTACTTACAATTAGCATTGAAGGAAAGCTCCCTATGTTCAAAAAAAAAAATTAAAATTCTGCAGTACCTGGCATATTTGTCAGGTATCATTCTAATGTATGAGATCCACCAATTTCTTCACATTTCTGCTTTAGAGCACACTGTGGATTGGCAGCTTGTCTTTCCCATTGTAAGCAGGCTTTGATTTGTTACCTCCTTAAAATTTTCTCCTTTTTCATTACTTTATTGTTCTTGCATTTTAGATTGCTGTATGCCATGAACTTTACAACACCATCAGAGATTACAAAGATGAACAGGGCAGGCTCCTTTGTGAGCTTTTCATTAGGGCACCGAAGCGAAGGTAAGATCATGGTTCTGGTTAAGCCTTGAAGTTGAGATTTAATCAGGGAGTAAGTGGGTATTGAGGGATACTTCAGCACTAATAGCTGTGAAAAATTTAAGCTAAATTTGTCATAGTTTCACACCAGTGTTTAATCTGAGTATTTGATGTAATTGTTCAATTGACGTGCTAACATTGGTGCCCTTTTTCAGTCAAAAAAAAGGTACACTGAATTAATTTTAAATGTTTCTTGTGACACCTGCCTAAAACATCTATGTCTTTGACTATAAAATATTCCACATAAGTGGTGGAATGTAATACTAAGGGCATATCTTGGGTAGATTAATAGAAGTGACCCTTGAAAATGTATGTCCTGGTTTTGGCTGGGATAGAGTTAATTTTCTTCCTAGTAGCAGGCATAGTGCTGTGTTTTGGATTTAGTAGGAGAAGAATGTTGATAACACGCTGATGTTTTTAGTTGTTGCTGAGTACTGCTTATGCTAGTCAAGGACTTTTCAGCTTCCCATGCTCTGCCAGGGGCACAAGAAGCTGGGAGGGGGCACAGCCAGAACAGGTGATCCAAACTGACCAAAGGGCTATTCCATACCATGTGACATCATGCTCAGTATCTAAACTGGGGGGGGTTGGCCGGGGAGCAGCGATCGCTGCTCGGGAACTGTCTGGGTATCGGTCAGCGGGTGGTGAGCAATTGCATTGTGCATCACTTGCTTTGTATATCATCATTATTATTATCATTATTATACTGTTACTATTATCATTACTATTTTACTTTATTTCAGTTATTAAACTGTTCTTATCTCAACCCAGGAGTGTTTCTCACTCTTACTCCTCCGATTCTCTCCCCCATCCCATAGGGGCAGGGGGAGTGAGCGAGCGGCTGCGTGGTGCTTAGTTGCTGGCTAGGGCTAAACCACGACAATGTAGTAGATAAAGTAAGAGACTGCATTTTATCTTAAACTCAGAAAGCTGAGGATGATAACAGAACACGTAATAAAGTAAGCCTACAAATAGACCACTGTCCAGATCTTTTAGCTGTAACAAAAATGTATTGGAACTTTTTTTGGTTTATTTAGTCATAGATGCTTACAGACTTTAGTGCTGTGGTTTTAGTTTTACTGCTTGGAATATAATGCCTGTTTTTTGTCATTTCAACAGAAATCAGCCAGATTATTATGAAGTGGTTTCTCAGCCAATCGATTTAATGAAAATCCAACAAAAGCTAAAGATGGAGGAATATGATGATGTGAATGTGCTGACTGCTGATTTTCAGCTTCTCTTTAACAATGCGAAGGCTTACTATAAGGTGAGGAAAATACATATAAAGGCTCAAATTCATTGTAAAAGTGGTAGAGATATGTTCAAGTTCTTCTTTGGTTTGGCCAAAAAACTTTTCAGTTTAGCCTTTATTATTGGTAAGAGACCAGCACACATTGCAGTTATCTGCATACATTTCCGTAAGGTTGACTGTAGCTTTTTAAGATGTCCTACTGTAAGAAGTTTTCTGTGGAAAACTGTAAAATCATGTGGGGAGGGTCTTCGTGTAGTTTTTCAAAAAGAGAGAGAAAGCAAAAATAGAGATGTAAACTGAGAAAAATATTCTATTGAAGCCTTCCCATTTTACAACACACTCCATGTGACCTTTTGAAATAGAAAAAGATTTGTTTTTTCCCAAAAGGAAGAGTTTATCAATAACAGCAAGCATACAGTAGGAGTGTTGAATCTTATGTTTCCATTGGACACTTAATAATATGAAAAAAAGGCACATAGATTATCATGGTCAGTGATGATAGATTGTGAGTGTATGTGATGATGTATTTCATCAAGGGTACAACCTCCATGTCCATTCCCCCACACTGGGTATGTGTTTTATTGCAGATGTTAATGGTTTTTATTGCAGTTGCCCTAAGGAAGTCGGAAAAATTTGGATTAATCTTGTTTAATGAAAGGCTATGTTAAATACATAAACCAGTGAAACTGTATGTAGTGACTGAGATGATACAGCAAATCTAAATCTGCTATATTACCTTTCATATATCTTTGACTTTGGAGGTGATCCAGATGACTGCTTTCTGAATAACCCAATCAGTGTAACCAGCTGACATTCAGAAAAGCAACGTTTATTTTGTTTACATTTGTGTGTGTGTAGCTTTTTGAAAAACAATCAGATTTATGGATTAATGCATTTGCACATTCTGGTTACAGTAGGAAATGTACAAAAATTTCCAAATTCATTGTGTACTCCTGAAGCTTTGCAAGGCACTCAGCCATTAATGTTGGCTTTTTCATGGTTTCTACATGAGGGAGAAGGACTTGATGGCAGGAGAGAATGATTAGTTTTACAAAATGTGTGCTCCTTTTGCCTACAGAATAGTGGACTCCAAATAATGCCTGTATCATAAAAATCTTGCATGTAGAATAGAAATTGGTAGCCATCGTTCTAGGGTGAAGGAATGTTGACATTTCCAGAGAACTATGGAGTTGTGAGCTGGAGGCATGGCACACAAATGTAACCTCTTCTTTTTTCATCTTTTACCTTACCCACGGCAGTTCCAATGGTGCATATCAAAGAAAGACAGCTGCTTCATTGTCAAGGTCTTTATTGCAGCAGGTGTCTTATTGGCAATGCTAGATTAGAATGGAAACCTTTGGTTTTTTAGTATTTTGGTTCAAGTCTTGCACTTTTGAGCATCTTGTGTTAATACAGAAGGAAGCAGAGTAGTGGAGCAGAATACCCTTTAAATCTGTTCCACATAGTTAACACCTGGTCTAATGTCTTGAGAATATTTAAGCCTAATAAGGTAAGCTTAAGAATAGTTCTTATGTTGGTTTCTCATTTGTATTACAAGCTGTCAGAGGTTGAGAGCATGAAGAAGAGCATAATCAGCAGTAATAAGGTGACATATCTGCAGGAATACCTGAAATAGAGGTTAAGTGACTGAGGAGAGGGAAAGAAAAATACGAAAGAGTGGAAAAGCAGTCTTTTTTCTGTGTAGTGTTCTTAAGTAGTAATGTTAATAGGCACATGCTTGTCTGCCACTACCACCTCAGTATTTACAAAACTTAATTTGCTGACTAATCCTTCTAGCTCTTCCAAAAAATACACCTAGATGTATACCCAGGTGGTAGCATGTTGTTAAGTTCTTTGGAATGTCACAGCTAATGCTGAGTTATGGGAGAGTGTAAATCATTGCAGTGCTTTCAAAGATACTGGCACATTCATTGGCATTCTTCTTCTGTAGAAATTAACACAATGGCAGCAGTATTGGCTTAAATCACATTTCTGGCATACTGATATTTAGTCTGTTTTAAATACCAGTAGTGTCATTATGCTGCAACAAAACCTAATGATTTCTCCAGATTCATCCAATAGGCTTGTCCAAGCCTCAAACTGAGTAATTTTATTGCTAAGTTTTCCAAAAGGCTTAGGTGGTTTGGAGTGATAGCGGTTATATTTTTGTAGTGCCTATTGTGATTCTTAACATGTCTGTTGAAGAACGACTGAAGCAGGAATTTCCCAGGTTTTCTATTATTTATTTAATGCATTTAATACCTTTCAGCTAATAATTTCTAAATTTCCTTCAGATAAGAAGGATCTGAATTTTGAGTAGAATGTTTGATTTGTTTTTGCAGCCTGATTCTCCTGAATATAAAGCTGCCTGCAAATTATGGGAGTTATATTTGCGCACAAAAAATGAATTTGTTCAAAAAGGTGATGCTGAGGAAGACGACGAAGATGAGGAAGGACATGACAATCAAGGCGCAAATTCTGAATTGGTAAGTGTGGGTATGACGGCTGCAGTTGGAGGAAGCCATGGCTGTGTAGTACATCAGCTGACTCTGAGAGGGAGATTGGCCTCCATATGTGAAAAAACATAGTTTTCATAGTTAAATTATGCCCCAAAAGGTATTTCTTATACAAGTTTATTAGTTAATAATTTCACAGCATTGTATGTGTGTTTCACTTTTGCCTAGCAAAAAAAAGTTATGAGGTTTTCTCGTATGGATAAAACATGGCTCTGGTTTAGTTGAAACTAATGTGATATGTGCTTGATATCGTGCCAACATTGAGGTTTGATGCAAGCAAGCTTCGTGTCTAGTGACATTGTTTTCCAGCACGTGTCCCGTTCAGCTAGTGCAGCTGTTCCTGGAGTGTTTTATAAGCTAGATACGATGATAGGAAGTTTGGGCTTGTCTGGTTTTTGTGATGTTGGGATGCGTGTTTTCATTAATGTTGACAACCAAGTCTATTCTAACAATATGCAATATATGTCTGACAGTCTGCAGTGTAAATGTGAAATTAAACTTTTCTCATGTGCTTTACCTAAATGCATAAACAATGTTGTTTTCAAAAGTAGCATCCATGTTTTATAGCTGATTTTTTCTGTCTTTGAAAAGTAAATTCATATATTTCAGCGCAACTTGAAGCACTCCACTATGGCTGCTATTAAAACTTCTTGTGATTTCATTTCTTGTATTAGTCATCTCCAGGTTACCTGAAGGAAATTCTTGAACAGCTTCTTGAAGCTGTAGCTGTTGCCACAAACCCATCAGGACGCCTCATAAGTGAACTGTTTCAGAAACTTCCTTCTAAAGTGGTGGGTATTTTAATAATATTGGTTGTTTTCTAAGTTGGAAACCTGGACATTTATATGACTGATGTTATACACTATGATGGGCACACTCAGGATGCAGTTCTTTGTTACTGTCTCATCACTGGCAAACTCCAGCTGTTTTTAGAGCTTCCCTCCCTTCTTTGCTCTTACCCACTCATTCCTAGCCCTTCATTGCAGATTGGGACTTGCCCTGTTTTGCCAGTTTAGTTAATCAGGGTTTTTTGGTGCAGAGTTTTTAATCTTTTTAAATGTATCTGATTTCACTGCTCTGATTTCAGGGTGTGGTGTAGCAAGTTTAACCAGCAAAATAAATACTTTGAAGACCGTCACCATGTATTTGGCTTTCAGACAGAACTGTTCCTTTATGTCAGTTTATTGATGAATTATAATTCCTTGTATCTGCCTTATGATCTGGCTCACCCAGTTTGAAGCCTAGTGCTATGTTTGTGAAGGTTACGCTGTTCTTATCTGCAATTCGGCTAATAGCTCACTCTATGAGCTATTAGAACAATAGCTTTGTGACTGTTCATAGTAATACATGAATTATTTTTGTTTTCCAGCAATATCCAGATTATTATGCAATAATAAAGGAGCCCATAGATCTTAAAACTATTGCCCAAAGGATACAGGTACAGTATGAGCATACTAATGTGTCATAGTATAGACTAGTTTAACAGTAAGCATTCTGAAATTGTTAGAAGCCAAAGTTTATGGTGGTAGAAAAGGCAATGTGTTTTTTCCCTGCTAGTTAAAAATCTGAACGCTATGCTGATTTAATGTTCTGTCTTGGGTTAATGCTGCAGAAATAGCTGCGTTGAAGATCGAGCATTGTAAACTGTAGTGTGCTGGCATTGAGCCTGAATTATCTTTGGTTCCTTGATGTTTAATGGTTTAAAGTAGTTCCTTGGCAAGTACTGCTGATGTAAAACATTGAGGTATTGAAGCTTGGTCATGCATTATCATCACCTACTTGTGTTCTAGTGCTATAAATAGATTTTTTGTACTGATGCATTTTTCATCTTACTTCTCCAGTAATTTGAAATATTATACAATCATAGAATCGTTTAGGTTGGAAAAGACCTTTAAGATCATCCAGTCCAACCATTAACCTAACGTTACCAGGTCCACCACTAAACCAATTACGGGTAGAGTAATAATTTCCTGTTTCCTGGCTTGGTGGCTGGATTATTTCTTAATGAAAGTAAAAACTAGGAATCATTAAGGTTGGAAAAGACCTCTAAGATCATCAGTCCAACCATCAACCCAACACCACCATGCCCACTAAACCATGTCCCAAAAGGCCACGTCTACCTGTTTTTTGAACACCTCCAGGGGTGGTGACTCCACCACCTCTCTGGGCAGCCTGTTCCAATGCTTGACTACCCCTTCCGTGAAGAAATTTTTCCTAATACCCAATCTAAACCTCCCCTGGCGCAGCTTAGAGGCCATTTCCTCTGGTCCTATCGCTAACTACTTGCAAGAAAGAGACCGACACCCACCTCCCTACAACCTCCTTTCAGGTAGTTGTAGAGAGCGACAAGGTCTCCCCTCAGCCTCCTCTTCTCCAGACTGAACAATCCCCATTCCCTCAGCCGCTCCTCATAAGACTTGCTCTCTAGACCCTCCACCAGCTTCGTTGCCCTTCTCTGGACGCGCTCCAGCAGCTCCATGTCTTTCTTGCGCTGAGGGGCCCAAAACTGGACACAGTATTTGAGGTGTGGCCTCACCAGTGCCGAGTAGAGGGGAACAATCACCTCCCTGCTCCTGCTGGCCCCGCTATTTCTGATACAAGCCAGGACGCTGTTGGCCGTCTTGG